CACGACAGGGGTCCTCTCCTCTTTTGTCTCGGCCTCGGTTCTAACCTTGGTCTCCTGGTTGACCCTTTCCTCCTCTTCCCGAGCCGAAGACCCCTCATCTAAGTGAATGACTTCAGCCTCAACTGCCTTGGCCACCCTTCTAGGTCCTCGGCCACTGATCTTGCAAGGCACCTTCTTCGTCCTCTCTGCTTGGGCATCGAAGGCACTGGTCTCACTGACCTGTCCAATACGTCGGTCATCTGTTCGCGAGCCGCTGCAGTCTCTCCAAAAGCCAAGTCCTAGTGAATGTGCTTCATTAGCCTCATTGACGGCCCTTCTTGAGGGTCAGCAAGCAGAGCTGTCAGTGTCCCAGCAGCTTCTTCTGGAGGGAGGATTAGCATGTCCACCCTCTCCTGATCCTTGGCCATAGGAGCCTCGACAGATATGCCAACCACTTGCAAGATAGAGTTGTCGAGCAAGTGCTCCATCTTGCGAGAGTCGGCGTACCTCCTAATTAGGTCCAGAGCATGCCTCTTAGCATTCGAAAGTTTCCTTACTATCAAGGCATCTCTCACTATCTCTGGCCAACTGGAGTAGCATAAGTCTAAATCATCTCCCAAGACCCAGACGAATCTCTCCCTTTAGTCCTTATTCGAGTCAGGGAGATCGAGGATGATTCTGAATTTGCCCACCACCTAGAAATGGAAGTGGGCTTCCTTCTAGTGCACTTTAACACAAATCAGATGGCCCAACACATTTCGGGACGGTTCAATCCCTAGCTAGTTGTAGATCACCATAAACCCCACCAGCATCGTGATAGCATTCAGCTTCGTCTGCATCGGCAATACCCACATAGCAGTGAACACACGATGAAGGAAGGGGTGTAGAAATAGTCACAGACCAAACTCCATGTGTTTTAAGTAGAGGGGAGCCCGTCTATCATCATGGTCATAGACCACCTGCAACCTCATCGGCGTCGTTAGTTTATAACTGTAGGGAATATCATATTTCCCATGGAGGGATTTTAGTTGGGGCAGCATCACCTTAGAATGGATATCCGCTAACATTTCCTGTCTAGTGTTGAGAGCAGGGACCGCCATTAGCACCGTGGATTATTGTCGGAGAAGTGATCAGAGCACTTAATAAACGCGGATTAAGAGTTTTAAAAAAGTAGTAACCACTCCCTTGTCACGAAAACCCCATTTATATGCACCTGGGCCTCCAACTGTCAGAATCTCAATGGACGAGCTGAATCCTAGCCAATGGCCCAGATTAATTCCAAAATTTGAAGCAGCCTTTCCCAAATCGAGACAAAGCGTGCTCACCTTGGATAGTCCGCAATCCTACACGAAACATGAAGCGACGGCAACTGAAAAGAATTCATTAACGTCAGCCACGTTGCATCCAAAGAACTTTTTAGATCCCTCATTAATGCTCCTCGTGACTCAGCAAGAGCTATTACATTTCACTCGGACCCGGTCTAGGCCGACTCAAGTAAAAGGGGCCAACTATTATAGCCATTTTAGTAATGAAAAATAATCTCCAATCAATGGCGAACAAGTGTCCTACATTCGGTCGACTCGACACTCTGACATCTTGCGAAGACGACTTGAAAGGTGTTACGTGTTGACCCCTGGCTAAGTCGACAGCATAATTACCCCACTCGACCGACTAATCGGCCGACATCGTGCTAACGCGACTCAAACGGTGGTACTTCTCGACCACCGGACGACTAGAAAGGTGATGAAATGCCTCAAGCCTTGAGCCCCCTCCCGCGCACTAGCGACCAATCACCTCGCAATACATGTTATTAAATGCATTATGGGTGTCATCTTTCATCTACCCCTAATAGTCTTAATGACATATTGGACCACGTCGACACCGCACACACACTACTAGAAACAGGACTTTTAGCGACGGAAATATCCGTCGCTAAAAGTCAAAAATCCATCGCTAAAAGTTTTAGCGACAGAAAAAATTAAATTCCGTCGCCAAAATACCGTCAGTACATTGAGGGTAGCTAAACAACTTTTAGCGACGGCTAATCCGTCGCTAAAAGTCAGCGACAGAATATTAGCTACGAAAAATCCGTCGTTCTATTTTTTTTTAAAGGAAAAAAAATTCCGTCGCTACTGTTACTTTTAGCGACGAAAAATCTATCGCTAATGTCACTTTTAGCGACGGATTTTCCATCGCTAAAAAAGAAAAACTTTAGCGACGGATTTTCTGCCGCTATTAGCATATCCCCGTGTATGTTTTCAGTCGCTAAAATGGTATATAGCGACGGCTAATCCGTGGCTAAATATTTCCAATATTTTTAAAAAAAATTATTTTAAAAATTTAAAAAACTTGTACAATAATATAATAAATGTAAAACCATGTTCAATCAACAGTATAATATTCATTCCCACGCATATATAACACATATTTTAATAAAAATATCTCAACATAATTAAAATTATTTATACAACACATATCATGATAAATATTGTTTATACAGCACACACTCATTGTTTTCAAATTAAGGTAAAAAAAACAAATCAGGGCTCCTGATCATCATCATCCTCATCACCAGCTCCACCTTGTCTAAAAGTCCAGGCCTGTAAATATAAATCAAACGTTAACAACATGGCATGACATGCAAGTATAGCAATAAGAGAGTATTATGACATATTCTTATATATTATATGTTTCGAAGAGAGTATCATGGCATATTCTTATGTATTATACGCACGCACATATTCTTATATACACGCATGCATGCGTATACGCACGCACACACACACGCACCAAATCTGCACCCCGTCCCTCCTCAACCACGACCAAAGCCACCACCCACCCACCCACCACACTCCACACCAACCACCCCCTCCCCCTACATCACCACCACCACCACCCAATCCCTACACCTCCCCCTCCCCCACCACGACCAAACCTGACACCAACCAATCAAATAACGCCCACCACAACATAACACAACACCACAACACAACAACATCACCACCACCACAACCACACCAAATCCACCCAACCCCACCCACCAACCACACTCAAACCCCCACCCCCTCCCCCTCCATCACCACCACCATCACCAAATCCCCATTCCTTCATCTTTGCAGCATCCGCTAGTAGGTTCTCTTTGAACTATCTAGATGTCAAAGTTAAAAGAGAATTTATGGAAAGAGCCGAGTAAAACTTTAAAACGATGTCTTTTCTTCTCTCTTCTGCTTAAATAAGTAAGCTTAACCCACATACTTAATGATGTACAACATTTAGTTCAAATGAGCATTCAACAAGACAGTTCAATTCTCACCACATGGCCAAACTTAGGACAATTTGTGGCAATAGAATCATTGATCCTAATTGCTTTATTCACTAAAGAGCGGCATCCATCAATTATTGCGATGTTGAATGATATCATTAATACAGTATTTAGTCCTTATCATTCCAAACAAATACATTGTACTGTGTAGAACTAAACTTATACAAGATGGTAATTAGTTAGCAAATAATGATGCGTCAGAACCTTGAAGGTTATCAAATTAATAGGTCATATTACTTTCTTGACCTTGAAGGTTATCAAATTAATAGGTCATATTACTTTCTTGTAATGTGTGATTAGTTGCTTCTCAAATAAAAGGAACAACTCAAGAAAATAACAATTTTATTACTTTCTTGTAATGTGTGATTAGTTGCTTCTCAAATAAAAGGAACAACTCAAGAAAATAACAATTTGCTATTAAACTTTTTGAGAAGACAATATACTACAAACTCAATCAATACATAATTCATTTCTTAGAAAAACATCATTATTTTAATGTATTCTAGATAAAATAACAGTGGGTTTGCATTCTCAATCAACCATTGCAAGTCATCATCATATTATAAAAATCAACATAACAGTATCTTACCAACTAAACTCGGTCAAAGAAAAACAGAAACTTCAGTGTCAAAGAATCCATAGTCTTAACATACTTTTCAAGTGCTATTGCTCATTCTTCATCTCTTCGGTCACCTGAATAAAATGTTATTGTTCGGATAAATACATGTAATCCCACCTTAATAAAGCTTTCCAATAGAGCAAATAGTTCATAATAAAAAATACATGCATATTATGTTCCTCTTGTATGTGTGCTTACCTTCATAAGAGATATTGAAGCCTCATATATATGAGCAAGAATAGGACTGTGCAACTGTATAAACTTATAGTCTACATAAGATTGTTTGCTTTGATCAATCAAGCTTTGATCAATCAATACCTTCCGCGAGTAAGAACCATGGGGCATATACAGTCTCTGGTCAAAGACATTGTAAAACTCCGACTAATCACAGGACTGAAATTTAACAATCGAGGATACAGATCGATCAGGCTCAGAGTTCCAGAAGTAATTATAACAGATTGGAACCGATCAAAAACAGCCTTCATGGCAAGAGAGACATCATGACAACTGAGCTGCATCACCCAATTAAGACCATAATGAATTTACAATATAAAGTTACTTTGCCGATAAATATTCACAAATATAAATGAATCAGCATCATATACAAACCATAAAAGGAAAAATATATACAACTTCTAAAGTAAGAAATAGAACATACTAGGCAAATTTCCTTTCTGCGCCAAACCCTCAACCAGGCGGTTATATTCAGCACGCAATCTGCTAGCATCAGTGGCCTTGAACCTTCCTACCAAATTAAGCACAAAGGATTATTGAAACTGAAAATTCGCATGATACATCACCTAATAGAATAAGCAAAAGGCCAAACAGCTTTTAAATATTGTCTAGGAGATCATTACAAAAGTTTTACAAGTGGATTAATTCCTATATATTGAAGAATCCAGAAGACATGGGTCGGTTGGGTTTACAAAAGGCATACTTATTTGAGATGTTGCAGCAGCTTGGGAGCTCATTTCACATTCATGCAAAAAAATAAACAAGGAGGTTGCTGCTTAAGCTAAACCATATGATATTAGTTTTAGGTATCTGTTAGAAGCACTCAGAGCAAGGGGCTCACATGATAGATTGATAGGTGAACATCTATGATTTTGAGGGATTGAAAAATCTGCAATACTGATTAATGAAGTAAAGGATAGTCTTTTATCAGGGTAATCTTCTTTTACTAAGATGTTAACCATTTAGCTAATGTTGGTTTGCTTGAAGGACCTGGACCTGATCATTGATAAAAAAAAGGTACTTAAACCTACATAATGTTGATGGTGCTGCTTTTTGTAAGGATTGCTTCAATCAATAGTCTAGAAAGTTATTTACATATGTATTCATGAGCTGACATAAGTTTTTTTTAACTTCCATAAAAGTCAATTATTATGCTAAGTGGTGATGAGCACAGACAGCTTACAGTTACAGTTGCATCCTAACTGTCAAAGCGATCGATGTCATACTATCTTTGCACTCCTTGATGGTTATGGAAGTTGTTTAACTGTGATGACTTGTGTGGAGTCCCGATTGCCTCGCCAAGGAGAACAAAATGGGGTGAAAAGGACCAATTTGCAAATTTCCAAGAAAAAATTGACTAATTTGTAAAATTCTAAAAAATAGCTCACCGGCATAAGAGGGAGGCGCACCATCAGCCGATGCGGTAGAGGATTGACCTTTCGCGATACGAGACATGGTGACCTGCAAAATAAATTAAGGAATCAGATCCAGAAAAAGTTCCTCTTTTTTGCATGAAAAATCTGCAATACTGATTAATGAAGTAAAGGATAGTCTTTTATCAGGGTAATCTTCTTTTACTAAGATGTTAACCATTTAGCTAATGTTGGTTTGCTTGAAGGACCTGGACCTGATCATTGATAAAAAAAAGGTACTTAAACCTACATAATGTTGATGGTGCTGCTTTTTGTAAGGATTGCTTCAATCAATAGTCTAGAAATTTATTTACATATGTATTCATGAGCTGACATAAGTTTTTTTTTTAACTTCAATAAAAGTCAATTATTATGCTAAGTGGTGATGAGCACAGACAGCTTACAGTTACAGTTGCATCCTAACTGTCAAAGCAAGCGATTTCATACTATCTTTGCACTCCTTGATGGTTATGGAAGTTGTTTAACTGTGATGACTTGTGTGGAGAAGACTTGGTGTTCATTAGCAACTTCAAACAGAGAAGTCGAATCTTTTCGATTAAGTAAATGGTTGTTGAAGTTTAACTGTCAGGATCTCTTGTAGGAGATTTATCTTTCATCAGTATAATTCATTGGTAACTTCAAACAAAAACCAAATATTTCTCACAAAAAAGGGGAAAAAGAAAAGAAAGAATAAACAATACCTATCAATCTCATGTGCTATCCTATTCAAATTTCTCGTCGCCCCATCCAGCATCTGCTTCCTCACACTCACACTCAATGCCTCAATACAAACATTATCAATATTATGTGCCTCATCAAACAGTCTGCTTCCTCACACTCACACTCAATGCCTCAATACAAACATTATCAATATTATGTGCCTCATCAAACACAAGTTTAAAAAACCCCTCTTTTCAATGCCTCAATACAAACATTATCAATATTATGTGCCTCATCAAACACAAGTTTAAAAAACCCCTCTTTTCTCCCCTATTTTCTCCCAAAATAAATTTAAAAAACCCCTCTTTTCTTCCAAAAAATGCCATAACATCCACACAAAAAAAAAGAAAGAAAATAAAAAACATAGAAAAAAGAACGGGCACCTAAAGAGCGAGCTGCCAAAAACCCCTCTTGACCTCCGTCTCGGATGCACCGGGTTGGATCCGCAACGTCGGTGGATCGAGATTGCTTTGGGTCTGAACGAGGAGGAGGAGAGGCCGGCGATTGGGTGAAATCTAGGTTAGGGTTAGGGTTTTTTGGAGAGATCGAGATGGACTGATGGAGATCGCCGATCGGAGCTTGAGGAGAGGAGCTGAGCTGCTGAAGGCGAGAACCGAGAGGGGAGGTCGAAAGTTGGGAACTTGGGAGAAGGCTAGGGCCTGGAGATGAGGACGACTAGGGGTCAAGTAGGAGGAGAAGTGGGGCGTTACTCGGTCGAAGGAGATGACAACGAAGAGAGCGTCGGCGAAGATGAGGGAGGTGGAAGGGATACGTTTGGCCGGAGAAGATGAGGGTGAACGGTGATGAAATTTTTGGGGACTTAGAGAGGGTGCGGTGTGGAGGGGGTTAGAGATTTGAGAGGGTGATGAAATTTTTGGGATGAATTTTTTGGCGGTGGGATGAAATTTTCGGGGATGAAATTTTGGCGATGGGATGAATTTTTTAGGGAGAACAGAGAGAAAAACTTCCGCGCCTAAAAACATTTCCCTCTTTTGGGTTTTAGCGACGGAAATTTCCGTCGCTAAATTCCCTTTTAGCGACGGAAATTTACCGACAGAAATTTTCTGTCGGGAAATTAATGGCGACGGAAATTTTCCGTCGTCAATATTAAAATTTCCGTCGGCAAAACTTTTTTGCCGACGGAAAATTAGCGACGGTAAATTCCGTCGCTATAACATGACTTATAGCGACGGAATTTTCCGTCGCTAAAGTCCCGTCGGCAATAGTTCATTTTCTAGCTGTGACACCCAATCACTTCACATTAAATACCGGAGTAACCTCTCCTCCACTTGTCGACGACACCTGTAAAGCAGAGGTGTGACACCCCTGGTTTCACACAAGGCTACAGTCAAAGGTGAACCCAATAATGTCAAACCTATCATGCATCTAATACTATATAATAACATATTTCATCATTATAGTAATATCTCTCTAGTAGAATCAAATATAAGAAGTGTGGGTACAAGCAGATAGATTAAAGGTAATGATACAAGAAACACAATATAAAGAAAAGATCCAAAAATAAATATAATCATGTTCCAACAGAAGAAAAGAAATACATCTGAAAATCTAAAATAAGAGTAATAAGTCTCTAAACAAAAGAGTCAACTAAAAATAGTACTAAAGCACTCAGCCTCCAACATAAAATACATCTCTAAAGACTGAAAACAAGTAACAAACTACTGTGGAGCACTAATAAACTACTAATAGATGACGGTGAGCTATGATGAGTTTCCGTCAACCTGCGACTCTCCGGACGCCTGACTCGCTGCTTGAAAAAGATGGAAACAACGAGCGTCAAAGCGCTAGCGAGAATATCTCCATCGCCCCTAGGAGGAAGGGGGTTAGGTGTATAAACATACAAGTGATAGCATATATAATATATAAACATATGTACTAAACTAAGAGGAAATTGATATTTAGATCTACAACACGAGAATGAGTATGTCGAGCGAAATACTCCAAACAAGAAAACCCTCATGTATATACCACATATCTCAAATTGTGAATCGCTAAATACCAACTCCAAATCCTATGAAGAAGAATAGATAACAAAGTATATCACAAATTACCAAACCTCATCCAAAACAAGTCGTGTCATAACTACCCTCGGGTAGTTAGCGTGGTAACAAGTATAATTATCCTGTAAAAGATCTCATATAGTATATGTCGTGTATGACAAACTTCAGCCTTATACCCTACGCTCGGATTAGATAACATGGGAGCAAAATACAATTCTATGATTCCTCTACAAAAGAATGGTGTGGAGTATAAGCGCTCACATATCCTGTGGCTCATCATAATATTTTACGATTTACTATCTTACTCGAACACCCTATGGAGTATAGGCATATCAGCCTAATCTAGAACCCAATACAAATAAAAAAAATGTAGAGTCTCGACACTCACAGCATCCTGTGGTTCAGCGCAATCTCATGCGACTCACAACCGAACTCGCTCGCTCTGTGGATTATAGGTGTATCAGCCTAATCCGGAACACAATGATGCATAACGGAGTGTAGTATACTACGGTCTTATTGCAGTCTATCAACTAACTCACTCTGAGTGTAGTCAATCTGCGGTCTCATTACGGTGCACCAACTAACCCTACTCAAGCATCCAAAACTAACGTAAAAATAAAATAAACATTACTCTTTATCATGACAAACTCAAAATGTTAGTTTATGCACCTCCAATAGCTCGAGCGTGCCTAAAACCAATCCGCAACCTCTCATGGTCTTGCACATAAATTGACACACGACTCACACTTCGTGTTCGTGATCAAAAACATGTGAGAAAGAAACAATATGAACCAAACAGAACAAGGCCGGTCGACCGATCATGTCTTATCGATCGACTGATGGCATACACAAAACACGCACAAGCAGCCTTGATCGGTCAACCGATGCTTGAGTTCGGTCGACCAACTAGAGGAAATCTCCAGTTTCCTGCATAATAACTGGTCGACTGATTTCCTGAATCAGTCAACCGACCAGAATAAAATTCTCAGTTTCCTAAGAAAAGCTAGATTCGATCAAAATCCATAAAAATTGAAATTTCTACACGATACTCATGTGTAAATCTTGATTTAAAGTAATTTGTGTTTATTCTATTACATGAAAACACAAATATAAACTTTTGAAGGGATATACTAACCCTAACATGTAACATTTGTAAATTCATCATGAAAAACAATTCAATTTAATAAAAGTCTGTGTTTACTTTACTTCAAAACAAAAATCCAACTCAAGAATCTGTTTCATAACCTTTTTAAATCAAAACGATCAAATCTTTATATTTTACAGTTTAAAAGAGTGATCTTTATACATAAACTAGTTTTTTTTAATCTAATAAAACCAAGAAATACGGTGATGGGATTGGAGGAGATGAAACTCGCCTCAGAAATTTCGTACTAAACTCCCAAACACATGAGATACACGATCCTCTTTCACCAAACGCCGTAGATCTTGTCATCCTCTAGGTTTTTGCTTCTCAAAGCTCTCCAAATTCAAAAGAGAAATCTCTAGGGTTTTTGAGAGGGGGGTGGTTGTTGTTCACTTGGGAATTATAGAAGAAAAGAGGAGAAAAGTCAGATTTATATCATATATGTGTGTGATCAAACGGGCCAAAATCTGACCCGACCTGAAAACTCAATCTGGGCACTTATCGGTCGACTGATGCTCATTGATCAGTTAACCGACCAGCACCTATCGGTCGACTGATTTCAAGGGGCAGTCGAACGATAAGTGGTGTTTTCAGCCGACTGGTTTTCACGTACTTGCATGTTTACACCAATATATGACCATATATATATACTTAATCGATCTGAAATCGATCACAAACATACTTATTCATCTCAGAATAGTATCAACCATAATAAAAATTATTTAATGTTATATTCTATAATATTTTCAAAATTACGGGGTTTTACAAGAGGCTGACGTGGTCATCATCCCATACTCAGCCGAAGTTACCATTCTACCCTTCTACCACCACTATAAATAGGGATATTATTTTTTATAATAAGGAAAGATCTTTTTCTCCACCCACTGTGTTTAAGAACTTCTACAGTTCATTTACTTCTCCACTCAAGCTTATTACTGACTTGATCGTTGGAGGAACAACCGGAGAACCTAACTTCGCCCTCTAATGATTTTCTACTTATATAGGGAAGAACAGCTTACTCTAGAATCATGTATTCAGAGGGTTAGAGAACCACCGTCAGCTTAATCACTTCTTTCAGTACTGTTTGATATCAACCATCAACATCTATGATCCAAGACACCATTAATTAGATAAAGATTATTCATGCACTTATTCTACAACCCTTGAATAATTATTTTTAATTTAATAATTTAAATATTTTTTATATTATTAAAAAAGGTGATTTTTAATCGTTAATTCACGACACTTTCGTTGATTAGAGAACATAATTTAGGAGTTTAATATATTTAGATATTTTTTAAAATATATATATTTAATACATTACAGAAATTATTTATTTTATTTTATTTTATGTATTATTTTTTCCCTTTTAATTTTTTATGAATTTTTTCAAATTGTCCTATTTTTTGCCTATGTAATTTTATCTTCAACGCATGGCTCTTTAATTACTTTGAGGAAAATAATTTAGGTATTTCATCTAGTTCCATATTATATAATTTTTATTTTAATTTGTGCAGTATTTTTTAGTTATCTAGCCCCGTCCGATAAAATTTTTATTTTAAATTGTGCTGTATTTTTTAGTTTTAATTGTTATCAAGAAATGTTAATTTTTTAGAACTTGAGTTTTAATTCCAATTTATTACAATTTGAATTTTTTTCATTTTTTATAACTGGGAAATTTTTACTTTGCTAATTTCCAAATTTAATTTGGATTTTATTACATTTTTAGATTGTGGTGAAAATATATTTTCACTTATTTATAATATTTTTATAACTAAAATAATCTTAAAATTTTCACAATAAATATATATTCAGTTTTTTAAAATATTATAGTAATTATAATATAATCTTGGGATTTTAAATTATTATTGCTAATAAAAAGTATAAATAAAAATATTTTTATTTTTAAAATATTATAGAAAATATAATAAAAGTTTAAAATATATTTTGCATTTTTAAATTTCTAGAATATCTTTTGTAATATCTTTAGTACCTAATTCAAGTCAGATATTCAGATATAAAAAAAATCAATTTATAGTCCGATATTGAGATATAAAAAAATTAGTTTATAATCAATTAGAATATCTTTGATAATATCTTTAGTAACTAATTCAAATCACAAATAAAATCAAATCCCCTCATTTAGGCATTTCCTTTGAAATAAGATATTTAGATATAATCGACTAGAATATCTATGTTGCGAGATCCAAATCAAAAAAAAATATTACAAAGATTAAAAATTATTTTCATAAAAATATTTTTGATTTTTAAAAATATTGTAGGAATTTAAAAAATTCTAAATTTTTATTTTCTTTTTTCTAAATTTTTAAAAAAACTAAAATTTAAATTTTAAATTATAAAATTTTAAAATATACTTTTAAAATTTTAAATTATTACAGCAATTAAAAATTACAAATAAAAAATATTTTTTACTTTTAAAAATATTATATTAATTATAATAAAATTTTGAAAATATATTTAGGTATTTTTCAATTTTTAGAATATCTTTGGCAATATCTTTACTAACTAATTCAAATCAGATATTCAGATATAAAAAAAATCGCTTTATAATCAGATATTTAGATATAGAAAAAAAATAGTTTATAATCAATTAGAACATCTTTGACAATATTTTTAGTAACTAATTCAAATCACAAATAAAACCAAATCCCCTCATTTAGGTATTTCCATTCAAATCAAACATTTTGATATAATCAATTCATAATTAATTAGAATATCTTTGGTGCTAGATCTAAATCAGATTAAAAAATATAACTGTGATTAAAAAATAGTTTAAAAAA